CAAAGTGAGATGGCGCCTTAGTGCAATTAGGAGGCGAATTTTCGTGTTTTTTTATTTTTAATACGGTGCGTTACGTATTCGATATAGGATCAACCAAATTGACTTTTTTTTTACGAAATATGATTACACACATAACGATTACATAAAAAAAATACAGATTAATCAGTGGTCCCCCGGAACCCGGTAATGACCCCCGGTTCCGCATCTCCGTCCTCGCCTTTCCCATGTTGGGTTTTGTCGCGTTCTTGTTGTGGCAGGATCGATGGCCCAGCGAAGTCAATGCGTTCTGGATCCATAAAATCGGTCAGATCTCCATATCTAAAAGATCCGCTTTGGTACAATCGGTTGCCCATAACCCTTAAAGTTTGGTCGTATTGGTGGTGGGTGGGGTTCCATGATTGGTCTGTAGCACTGGTCATCTGAGTACGGGGGGTGGAAAGGAAATGGATCTTGGGGTGTTTGGTATTGATGATGTTGGGTGCTTTGGTGATGTTGTGGTTGATGGTAAGTTTGATCGGTTGGTTCATAATCTTCGGAAAATCTCAGATCAGGGCTAAGGTTGGATGTTGAGGGGTCCATATTGGGATATGCAGAAGACTGAAATTGTGTGTGAGATATGCGGGTGTGTTGGTATTGTGATTGAAATTGTGGTTAGGTGTGAGGCATATGGGGATATGGTACTGAGGTGGTGATTGTGGTTGGTTGTGGGGCATGTGGGTGTAATTGTATTGTGGGTGGTGACTGTGGTTGCCGTGTTTGTGGTTCTGTTTCGTCGGGGGGTTGGTGGGAGGTTGATGTGTGTTGGGTTTGTTGTTGGGGAAATGAGGGTTGTTCCCATTGTGTTCGTGGGTCAACCAAATACCTTGGATGAGACACGTGCATTCCAGGGGTACTAAACCGATCTGTACCAAGATAAATTACTGATCCGTGTGTCGCATATTACCACGGTTGAGGAAAACTGGGAATTACAAGATATGTCGGTGACGCCTCTGCCACATCTTACACCATTCTGGAGCAAAGTATTTCCAGTTGGTAAGACCCCATTGGGCGTCGACCCTTTAGAGATGCCTACGGGGACAAACAAGTCCAGATTGCCAGGTATCTCTTGATGCATTCCAAACTGCATCTTGACACGGTTGGAGTTTGACGACATGGTCAATGATGACGAGTTGGAGTTTGACGACATGGTCAATGATGACGAGTTGGAGTTTGACGACATGATCAATGATGATTCCGAAGACGATGGGATACCTGGTATTCCTTCAAACGAGATCTACACACCACCTCCGCACATGACAAACTTCAACATGGGCGGAGATGTGCCGTCTTCTGATTTATTTTTCAATTCGTATATGCAGTCGGATGAAAACTTAAAAGAGAAAGACAAATTTCGTAACAAAGAAGAATGTATCAGAGCCATCAAAAAATTTCACATGCTCAACTCTGTCGATTTTAAGATGGACCGTGTAAATCCAGAAAGGTACAAGATCAAGTGTGTCCACCCAGATTGTATGTTCAAGCTCACTGCGTCATACAGATTAAGAGGTGATTGTTGGGTCATATGTTCTATGTCTATCCACACGTGTGTTTATTTATACTCAATCACGAGATCATCGGAAACTAAATTATGATCTCATTTGTCAAGAAATCCTACCACTCGTCAACAAACGATCCATCATTGAAGGTGAAAACCATAATCTCCCACATCACTCGGTATTTAACTATACTCTGTCTTACCTAAAAGTGTGGTTAGCAAAGACCAAGGCGATTGAAAAGGTATATGGAAACTGGGAGGAGTCATACCAAGAACTACCTCGCTACCTGAATGCACTCCAGACTTATTCTCCGGGTATTGTTTACATTCTGGAAACAGTGCCAAACATACGCCCCGGATGATAGTTAACTCAACGGAAATAGAATATTCAGTCGAGTGTTTTGGGCTTTTCAACCTTGCATCACAGGGTTTACGTCATCCAAAGCAATTATACAAATTGATGGGACTTGGTTGCATGGGAAATACAAAGGCACGCTACTGATGGCAGTTACACAAGATGGCAACAACAATATTTTCCCAATTGGCCTTTGCCCTAGTCGAGGGGGAGACTGGTGGTGCTTGGAGTTTTTTTCTCAAAAATCTCCGAACACACGTGGCTCCTCAACCAGATCTTTGTTTGATCTCTGATAGACATGCATCCATTGAAAGTGCATATAATAATTCTGCAAACGGTTGGCATGACCCTCCTTCTACCCATGTCTATTGCATTAGACATATCGTCCAAAATTTCACGAGGGAGATCAAAGACAAAGCTATTAGGAAAGCGGTTATGAATGCGGGATATGCATTAACACAACCTACGTTCAAATATTATCGCAACGAGACCCGTTTGTCAAATCCGGAAGCGGGTAGGTGGATCGATAATATTCCGATAGAAAAATGGACTAGGTCATACGACAATGGACAAAGATGGGGCCACATGACAACAAATCTAATTGAATCAATGAATGGGGTATTCAAAAGGCATACGAAACCTCTCAGTCACTGCTTTGGTTAAATCAACATATTTTAGGATGCCTTCGTTGTGTTCCAAAAGAGGTGAAATGTGGAATGTTGTGTTGTAATCTGGACAACTATGGAGTGAAAGCTGCATGAAATACATTAAGGCAGAAAGTGCCAAAGCCAACACCCATCTGGTTATACGGTTTGACCGACACAGCCACAACTTCATTGTCAAAGAGACAATCGACCACAACGAGGGCCTGCCAAGACAAGAGTATAGGGTTATACTACCTTCTCGTTGGTGCGATTGTGGTAAGTTTCAAGTCTTTCGTATGCCTTGCTCTCATGTCATTGCCGCGTGTGCCTATACTCATCAAGACACGCTACAACTTCTGTCTCCCATTTACAAATCTGAAACCTTGCTCAACATTTACAACAACAACTTCCCTTTGGTAGCAAAACCAGATTATTGGCCTGCATGCGACGGTGAAATAGTATGGCACAATGACCAAGTGCGAAGGAATAAAAAGTGTCACCCCAAAAGTAAGCGCATCACAACCGAAATGGACTCCCTTGATAAGCTAGAAAGAAAGTGTGGTTTATGTCGTCAGGTCGGACACAATCGTAAAAATTGTTAGAATCGGGCTACTGGCTCAACCACATAAAAATTGTATTACAAAAAATCTTTCCTTTATTAAGTTGTAAACATTAGGGTTTTTCGTTAACAGTATTTGTTACAATAAACATTGCGCGAACAAGAAATAAAACACGATAAACCGTCTACGACATTACAACCGTTAAAACAATTTCATCTGACCCATGCATCATCAACATTACGTTGCTATCTGTTTTTACTTCCTCCAACCAAAAATTAGGTCTTCCTGTCGCAAGTGAGGTTGTTGTTCGTCTTCGCTGGATCCTTCTAATTTGTTCCCCCTCCTCGATGTCTCCCTCTAGCCATCGCATCAACTCGCTCTTCAGACGCTCCATGGAGTGAATGTGCCAGAATTTCATTTTCATCGGAGATTTTGTGGTGGAGAAAATAACGTAACCATCTCTGATAAAAATCATGGGCGATGTCATGACGCAAATAACAGAGTAAAAAAATAAGCGAACAGTACGAGAAAGTGTGAGAAATGACGGAGAAACGGACAAATTATTTATAAAAATAGCATTTTGTCCTATGAGTCAAGTGAGATGGCGCCTCCTCTCACTTTTAAAGTGCATGTGCCGTCTCACTTGGCTAAAAGAGAGAGGAGGCCCCAAGTGGGATGGCGCCTAGGGCAAGAAGGGTAGTGGATGCGCCAACTGGGTTAGCTCCTCCCTTGTGGAATTTTCTGAAACATGGTTATTTGCGCAATTTTCTCTGAAACATGGTTATTTGTGAATTTTTTTTAATACATGATTATTCCAAAAAAAAATTCTCATAATCACAACTACTGTATAAATTTAATTAAAATTCAAATAAATTTAAAAAAATTTCTCTTTAGTTTTGTTTCTATGAATATAAATTTTGCTCTATTTTCATCCAAGAATTTCCGTAAGTATTGCTCCTATAAACAAGCATACTAATACTAATAATAATGCCATGATCCTATGACAATATCTAGAGATCAGATTTGGCTTAGAGGGTTTTCTATATTATATTGCAATAGGTAATGTACAATAATAATCTCATGATCCAATGACAACGTACCATATTAAAGTTAGTCAACTAAATAACAATTATATCATTACAAAGATATTGGATAGTTTAAAACTACGTTGAATTTACTATTTTTATAATAAATCAGATATTCTTGTGCATATTTGCATAGACAAATCCTTTAAATTGAAAGGATAATATAAATGGAAAACCTCTGATTCAAAAATTTTAAAACAGCAATTTAATCATTTATGCAGAAGCAATTGAATATGTCTTTTTAAAATTCTTAAAGAGTGCCCCCTATATATTTATTGTGAGAAATATTAACTACAGAGCTTATCTCATTCATTGTCAATTAATTAAGCCTGAATAATACATTAAGTAGTTGAAAATATGTATCCACACACTAGTATTCAATATTTGAACCAGAACAGGTTGTCATTTAGTCACAAACAATAATGATAAGAATTTTATATAGATTTGATACATCACAAAACAACAAAAGAAGCAGTATTATAATAAAAACGCTCTAAAGAGTCAATCTTTATTCAATCTTCACAACGTGAAAGAGGGAACAAACAAATCAATCTAAAGAGTCAATCTTATAAAATAAAATCCCTCTTGTGTGAAGAGAAAAAAAATCTGTAGAGTCCGAGAATGCCAGAGTGCAAAAAATAAGGAAAACACCTTAGCATTATTATGATCCAAATGATGGAGCAAAAAAGGAAAAGAAAACCATTATGATATGAAAAATAAAAAATTAAAAAAACATTAAATTCTAAGGTCATTTCTATAGACTATACACTAGTCATGATGACTCATAGGAAAATGTTGATGGTTTAAACTTGTAATTTAGGATCAAACGACCTGTTTCAAAACCTGACTTATGCTACTTATGAGATCTTTTATTGTCGAGCAATATTCGTTATTCATATGAGCAACAACGGTTATGTCAATATAGTTACTTCCAAATGGTAAAACGGAACTACTCTGAATTGTGAGATGCTGTTTTTCGAGTTTGTTGAGTATTGCGGTCGGAATTCGGCCGCTGTGTTTGTCACAGTGGATTCTGATAAGCATGTCTTTTCCAGATACTCTTGCTTCGATTTTTGGGAGTGATTGGTCTGAGTTTTCTTCGCAATCATCATCGGAGAAGAGAATAGATCTCTTCGCATAGACTGCAGTTTCAACTCTTCTATCAGCAACTTGTTCCTCTAAACTCTTTACTCTTTCTTTTAATTGGTTTAGATGAGTTATAGCATCTTCCAAAATAGTTGCCTTGTCCATCTGCATGAAAACCACGCATTCATTGTGAATTAATTATAGTAATAAGAATTAAGATGTTAATAATCCAAAGGTGTATAACTAATTAGTACCTTTTTGAGACCTGGAAGAATGGATGAAAGAGTAATTAATTTCTGGTTAAGCTTTTGCCTTCGTTTTCTTTCAGCAATTACGTGATCTCGTGCTTGGGTCGGGTTTCTGTTGGTTATCGTTGTCATTGTCGCAGCCTTGTTCTCTTGTTTATCATACTCACTTCCAAAATTCAAGTTTTCACCATACCCCGACTCGGTTTTCGGCTTCTTAACCTTTGCATCTATGTTATCAAAAGAAATGATTTTGGAAGATGAAGAGGCAACAGATTGATCAGGACTTTCAACGGGGAAAGAGTTGTTTTGTGTGCTTTCAGAATGAAATCTCTTATTACTGTGAGAGGAATTAGTGCTCTCAGGTGTGGGTGCTGAGAAAGAGTTGAAATGTGGAATATCATCAAAGTCAAATACAAATGAATCAATTGCTTGAAACAAACTAGTGTCATCCATTCCCTGTTAATTTCAAATAAAAAGGGTAAGTTCTTCTAGGATTCACCATGTTTCTGCAGTTAAAGACAATTCAAAGATGCAGTTAGAGTGTTGTGTACTTACAAATTCAGGCATGTACTTGGACGACGAAATTTGAATCATCTTTGAGCCTCTTGGTTGAAGAAAAGTAGAAGAGGAGAAGTGTTGTTAATTTGTTTGTGAAAATGGTGCACAATGCTCCATAAATGGACCAACGTGTCTGTTTTATAGAGAGGAAGCATAATACTCAGACACGTTTAGTACCCGGTTATTTTATTAACCACGTGTGAATATGATGTCCAATTTTCTTGGGTGTATTTTTTAAATACGATGGCCCCACTCTTCACTAAAACCCTTTTTAGTCAAATTGTGGCTACATTTTCTCAACTCTTGTTTCATCATCAGGTGAATGGTGTTTTACAAAGTAATAATTGAACTCAAGAAGCTTCGAAGAAACAAAAATGTTAGTAATATATTATATAATTAATGTATATCAAATACAGCAAAGCAAAGTTTATCAATTGTATCTCTTCATAATATTCTATTTTTTATATGATATTAGTATTTTTTTCCTGGTAAATATCTATCACTTTGTTTCTTTTCTTTTTCATTTATACCTTTGTTTTCGGTGTCATCATGTCTGATATCTCAAATTCAATAATTTCTATTCCTTTTTCTAAAAGTTCATCCACCACTGATCACTCCACAACAATCACAAACACACTTGTGTTATTCACTATTTAGATAATCTTTCAATTGTCTTTATTACCCCTTTATTACTAGTAATAACTATGGTTCATGGAGTTGTGTAGTAACAATGGCACTTCAAGTTAAAAATAAATTAGGTTTTATTGACGGGTCACTTACCAGTCCAAAGAAGAAAAAAATATTCCTAAATGGCAACGTTGCAACTATCTGGTTACAAGTTGGATTCTTAACTCGGTTTCAATCGAGATTCGTCCCAGCATTTTGTACGCTGAAACTGCAACACAAATCTGGTTCGATCTAAAAGATCGATTCTCTCAATCAAATGCTCCTAAAATATATCAACTGAAACAGTCAATTTCTGCCCTCAAACGAGAAAGCATGTCTGTCTCTCTTTATTTCACTCAACTCAAATCTCTTTAGGATGAACTTAATTATATTGCTCTTGTCAATCCATGTATTTGTGGTAATGCTAAAAGTATTCTTGATCAGCAGTATCCAGATCGTGCCATGGAATTCCTTCAAGGAGTTCATGGTCGTTTTTCGGTTGTCTGCAGTCAAATTCTTCTTATGGGTCCATTTCCATCAATTCAGCGTATCTATAATCTAGTTCGTCGGGAAGAAAACCAACAAGAGATCAGTTTTCTCCCTCTCCCCGCTGAAGAATCAGTTGTGCTCCATATCTTTAAAGTTCCATATCGCACTCAAGGAAAACGTCAGCGTCCTTACTGTGAACACTACAATAAGCACGGTCACACTATTACTACTTGCTATCAGATTCATGGTTTTCCAAATAAGCCACAAAAGAAATCAGAACCATCATCATCCTTTTTTGGTAATCAAATGTCAAGTGCACAATATACAAAACTCCTATCTCTCTTAGCTAAAGAAGAGACTACGGGACCATCAGTGAACTTGGCAGGTACAACCTTTACTTGTATTTATTTTTCATGGATTATTAATTCTGGTGCTTCAAACCAGATGTGTACATCTCTTTCTTTATTGTCTTCATATTCTCTCGTTCATATTTATATCTCTGTTCAACTGCCTGATGATTCTCAAACGCTTGTGAAACACATAGACTCTATTAATTGTTCACCATCACTTACACTTACGAATGTTTTCCATATTCTGACTTTCAAATATAATATATTATCTATCTCACAATTAATAAAATCAATAAATTGTGATGCAATTTTCTCATCTTTTGGTTGCATTTTTCAGGACCGGGCAACGAAGAAGATGATTGGTCAGGGTAGTGCTCAAAATGGACTATTTTATCTAAATGATGCATCAATATCAAATAAGCATGACAAGTGTTGTACCCCAAAATTTACCCTCTCTTTTTTTAAGATATTTTTTACAAGATCTTCAATAGCTCAAGCTTGTACAAGTGTGGACTAGGTCAAGCCATCTCCTCAACACTGATACCTCAAAATTAAGGTTTGAGCTTGCATAAGGACAATTGGACTTCTAATACTTCAAATGACTTTCATGGATCATTATGGACCTTCAAAAATGGTCATGTCAAGTTTCAAATCTTGTATCACAAATTCTGCTCAGTCAATTGACCAGATGACCAAAAATCAGTTGTACTGATGAAAAGTCAACTAATACACCAAAAGTAAAACTTTGACTTTTTGGTCAATATTAAGTATCAAAGATCAAAGTTCAAGACATTCAAGAATATCAAGATTAATCATCAAAAAGTCAAGAAATTCAAAAGTCAATTTGGAAAGTCAAACTTTTCAAGACTTAGGAATTTTTCTAAGTGTTTTGCACATGTTTATTTCATAACTTCATACCAAATTTTCACCATGATGCAAAATGACTCAAAGGAAACTTTCAACATAAAAGTTGTAGATCTTGATGAATTCTATAACTTTGTATTAGAGGGTTGATGTCCAAAAAATGCTTAGATTTGAAGATTTGAGCCCATGAAGTCATGACATTGTTATCCAACACTTAGAGAAATTTTCAACAGATTTTGGTCATGATTTTATCCCAACTTCTTGGTATTTTTTTACATAGTTCCAAAATGATTTTATCAAAATGGTTAACATGAAAGTTATAGAGGATGTTTCAAGCTTTCCAACACATCCAATAGCATGAATTTATCATACTTGAGCTAGGAGATTCAAGGGTATGAAGTTGGGTATCCATCCTTGAATTGCAAGTCCTTTTGTTGAAGAACACATAACAAAATCCTTATGCTATGATGCATAATCTTGTGTTGCAGGTCTTCTAACTTGTCAATCTCACTATAATTTAATGCTTACACCTAATTTTGAGCTATTACCCAAGTATTTTACTCATTGTCCAAAAGATCTTTCCATTTATGGCATAAAGGCGCCATTGCTATTCTTGAAAAGCAAGCTTGTTGGTACAAAACTTGTCTTGAGCCCATACCTTGTTTGCTTCTGATTTTACTCCACCATAAATCATGGAAATTAGCCCCTTTATACTAGCAACTTTGATACTTCATCTTGGAACCATGGAATACTTGACATAGTTTGATATTTGCATCACAACCAAACCATAACATGTTGTCTTGTAAACCTATTCAGTCCTTGTTCACAAACCTTTTCTTATAAATAGAGGGAGCATAGAGAAACGTTCATAGAAAAATAGAGAGATTCTTGTGTATTGAAAAATCCTCAACCCCCCCCCCCCCTCATACTCTAAAAACCAGAACTGTCCACAAAAACCTCCATCTTTGAGCTTTGAAGTCCAAAACCTTTGAACCTCTCACACCTTGCAAGTTCTGTCCAAACAAACCATCCAAACACTCCACATGCATCATATAGAAGTTGTTCAAACTCAAGAACAACTTTTGTAACATCACTATTTTCAAAACTCAAAAACAGCCACCTGCGACTTGATTTCTCCAACTCAAACTCAAAGCACAAATTTCAGTTTCATGGTAAGTTTCACGCAAGAGAAGCCCTTAGAGTTTAAGGCCAGCATGAGGTCTAGGTATTACCCTCTTTCAGTTTGTTGGTTCATACCTGTCCTATCAAAAGTAACCGGGTTCTTAGAGGATCCCAATATCATTGACTACCCTCAATCGGTCATAACTCCAGCATCGCAATCTTTTCTTGCGGCCAGAACCATCACGAGAGTTTAGCCTCAATGGGCGTAACATACTGCTACTGTTCTAATGGCCAAGTTGTGTCAATTAAGGTTCTAAGGTTGTTGGTGCTTAATGACTCCTTGGAAGACCTATATTATCCCCGTTTCAACACGAGGGATATCGGTACAGACCAAGGCGCCACACCAACGTAGCCACTGCTTCACCCATGTCGGTATATGCCGGACAGGTCCCTCACAGCTTATGCTACCTAAACAGGGTATCCCCAGATCCGGGTTAGGATCTATGTAACTCCCATGCAACCCACAAATTTTAAAGCAGACAAGTCAATACAATTGAAAACACAGTTATAAACTAACCCTGAGGTACACCTCACTTTAAGTTTAAGTCCCCAGCAGAGTCGCCAGTTCTGTGATCGGTGGATCTGGAACTGACTGTTTTAAAGCTGGTTCGCGAAATGTCGCGGAAGCAAGAGTCGCCACCGTCTTTTATTTTCTCCAAATGGAAAGGACAAAAGCACAGAAAAATTCCTTATAGAGATTGCTCTCGGTTCGGGAGGTAGATTATAGAAAGGGAAGGTGTTAACACCCTTTCTATCCATGGTTATCCATAGGCTCTTAGATACTTGCTCATTTGTGTTTTCAAAAAATGGTTTGTTTGCTTTTCAACTGTGGGTTTTAAAAAGTTTCTTTGAAAATTCCAGTTTGACTCTTGTATCGGTCCTCAAGAGTGTTTGAAAAATCGCTTTCGAAAGCTTTTTGAAAATGTGTTGGTGTGAAAAGTATTTTTTGATTTGTTTTTGAAATTAGAGCAAGTATCTAGAGTCGTCTACCTACCCTAAGGAATTCGTCTGTGTAAATGTCCTTTAAAGTAGTGCTATCCCACCATTGAGAGGTAGGTAGCACCACCGTTGGAGGTGTTCGGGTCAATTCGAGGTTCGGGACATGGTGATCACCAGAGCAATGGGAAGACACCTTAGAAGCTACCCTCATGCCAGGTTCCCGGATCATGAGGACTTACTAAGACATCCTCTACTCGACGATCGCCTTTCGAGGCAAGGCAACAGTGAGGCGTACCCTAGGGGTGGTGTGTGATTTGTGTGTCGTTTTCATTTATTTTTGTCTTTTGTCATGTCATGAGTGATCTAGCATTTGTTTTTATTTTTGTCCATACATTCTTTCATGCCTTTATTTAACAGTTAAAAATTGCGAGAAAAGTAAATTCTAAGCTATTACAAACGGCGCGGGTCCACATCGCCAAAATTAACCAGGACCCGATTTGACAGAAAAATAAGTAAAGAAAAGTGCGAGAAAATTAAAAGGTTACA